CGGTTCTGCTTTTACAGACAGCAGCTCCAAGAACTTCAGAGTAACAGAAAATGCAGCACTAGTCCTGAATAGGATTGGAGTGGTACGACATTAAAAAGTTAGAAGGGATTAAGAATTAATTAGCCTTAGAGCAAAGATAAAGAGGACAAATTAGCGATTGCACAGGATCTTCAGTGATAATAGAGAATGCAGCATTGGTTCTTGGCAGTGGGACTGGGAAGTTCAAGGCAGGGGGAATCTTATGCAGCTCCAGAAACCTCAATACACTGGAGAATGCAGCATATGCTCCAGGAACATTAGAGGTGTTTCAGAATACAGCTTCCTAAAAAGTCAGCACACTCTTTTACAATGCCTGTGTCAATGGAAGATGGTCTAGCATTATAACAGTATGATATGGGCATGACAGGAACGAGCAGTCTTCACTCATTTTCGTCTTGCTTTGCAGTCTTCTCCTCTACCAGCTGATGAGGTGACTTACGTTGACTTGAACTTCCACAAAAGGGACACAAACGCAGAGGAAGAGGTTGTTTACACGGAAGTGAAGATACGGCCAAAACAGAGAGATGACAATGACATCTACGCAAAAGTCAACCCTCGTCATCGCTAGGGGAAGAGCTAGTGGGAATTAACGGAGGGGTAACCAGCATTTCACATGTCCATTAAATGCAAATCTCCATGGAGCAACGAATTAGCTCTTAGTAAAAGATGTCCTTGGAGATCAAAGTCCACTAGTTATGAACGGAGCAAGTAGCAGTGCAAGATTCCCTCATTTCCTGCTCCACCAACATGCCTCAACTCTGATCTGGAGAGACCAATTCTGTGGGCAAACGGAGAGTCCTGTTAACCCATCTACTCTTGGTCTATGTGCTGCGATTGCAGCCAGGAAATGGGTTGTGCTGTGGACAGTGTTTCACTAGGAACTGAGTCGAGACCAGAAATTCATTTAACAAACTCACCAGCCATCGGATTATAGCAAGTTTTAGTTGCTATTTACCAGCACTGTACTTGAACAAGTGACCGAGAGCCAAGCCCTTGAGCCACCCAAGTATGGAAAATGTTGCCATCTTGTTGTGGGAAGCACTGTCCTCCACTGAAGATGCCAACTGTGCTGAGTGAGGAAAGAAAAGCCTCCGAAGAGCCATGCTCCCTACCCTGGAGGATGTACAATAATGCTGATAAGGCTCAAGAGCAATGTCCCATACGTTCATGAATGAGACTGACATGATTGTTGAAT